ATAATAAATAAATAATTTTATTTATAATATTATAAAATTTTTTTATTAATTAATTAAAAAATAAAAAAATTTTATTATTGGCATATATCAAATTTAAATGAAAATATAAATATTATTATATAAAAATAATTTACATGACCTTACTCTTAAGTTATTATAATTTTGTAAAGTTTATTCCAACTTTAATACTTACTTTATAACATATTTCTACTACTTTGGTATTTAATTTAAGCTTTCAGTTCAGATAGCTTAAAAAGATAGATACAACTATATCTTTAGTTTATATTTTCTTCTAGCATTCAGCTTTATAATACTGTTTTATAAGTTTAGTTTTTATAGTAGCACTATTAAAAGTTCAGACTACCTTTTTATTAAGTTTTTTAAGTAGGCTTTTATCTTCCTAATTCCTGTAATTTATACAGCTACAGAACCTTATTATGGATTTATACTGCCTGATACTAGTTTGTATTTCTTTGTACAAGGTATAACTGTTGCACAAATATTATGTAACCTTTTAGTTATGCTAGTATAATATAGTTAACAGATATTTGATTCCAACTAATAGTAAAAAACAGTTAACTATAATACAAAAAATTTTCAAATTTTTGCTAATACTAAGATTTGAACTCTAGATTTGTTACTTAGAAGTTAACAATATAAACAGTTTACTATGCACTATGTCTCTAAACTAATATTTTTTTTAACTTACTAAATTAAAAAACTATAATTTTTTTTAAATTTTGCTATAAATATATTAATATACTAGTTTATAATTTAAAATTTTTTAGTTAATTTATTAATAAATATTTCTAATTGCAAAAAAGTTTTTACCAAATAAAAATTTTCAAATATTTGCTTAATTCTAAAAAAATCCAACTAGGATTTTATTTTTAATTAAGCTTATTTAATATTAATTATTAAGCTATTCAAAAAAAAAAATATAAAACTTTTTACTTAGTAACTAAACAAAATTATTTCAACTAATAATTTATTCTTATATCTTAACTTTGCTGCAATTAAAAATTTATTTATTTACATTCTTATTCAAATTATTTATAATACAATTAAATATTACAAACTACATAATAAAAAAATCTAAATTTTATTTCAAGATATGTTAAAAGTATTTAACAAAATCAATATACTTAAACTTCAAAACTTATGCAAAAAAATTGACATTTTTAAAAAAAGAATAGTCTTTATTTCTGAGCTTTATACAAACCAAACAGCAAAAATTATTATTATCAATAGTTTATAGTTAAAAATTATTTGTTTCTTTTTTATTTACTTATCTTATATATATATTACAAAATATTATTTAGTTAAAATTTAATTTTTTAACCAGTATTTGAAACTACACAACAATATACATTTTTTAAAAAAAAACATTTATAAAAATCAAGTATATATTTGAACTAAAATTCAATTATGCATTTAAAAAAGATATGTATTTATAGAAGATGCACTTAGAAAAATCTAACTGTAATTGTATTTTAACTTTTTAAACAAACTGTACTAACTTCCAACAAGTTCTACTGTTTAAGTTTGTTTTTACCTTTTACCTCTTAATTTTTATAAAAAATCCAATCAAAAACAAAATTTAGAATTCAAAAAAATTGCTTATTAAACTTAATAGTTAATATTAAATATTATAAAATTTGAATAATATTTAATTTATTTACTCATATATTGCTAAAACTGTTGGACTTTGTTCTAATTTCAATTTTTTTTTACTAAAGTTCCAGTTGTAACTTGTTACAAAACTTGCAATTCTATTTAGACAGTTTTAGTATTTCCTTCAGATCCAGCAATCTTGCTAGAACTTTCAGTGCCGACACTACTACAATCGTTAATTATTAAAAAATAAAATTTACAATTTTTTTAAAAAAAAATTTAATTTTAAAAATCGGTAATGCATTGTTACATCAAATAGCTGCTGTAATAAACCATATCACCTTGGCACACTATTCTTAAAACCCTTTATATATATATATATACATATATATATTAGCTATAATAATGAGAAATAAATGTCATTTAATAAAATATAGATATTTTGCCATTGCGAAACGTGCTGAAAAAATAAGCTTAATCAATCTTTGGTGACGTTTCGCTAATCTCATTCAGATATGTAGCCAGTAGTTGCGACATTGCAGTCACTGGTCTGCCACTAAATAATGCTTCCGTAACAATATCGGCAGTCACCTGGGACAGCCTATAATTGAATACATAAAATTTAATTATTATATCCCTTTAATATATAAAATATGAGTGATACCAAAGGAAAACCAGACTTCGGGCTTTCAAGTTTATTATTTGAGTGCCACCAAGGGAAAACCACACATCGGACTTACTTTCAATTATATTTGTACTGAACACAATTAGTCTTTTATTAGGGAATATATCCGGCACAAAATGTAATTGAAAGCCCGATGTACGGTTTCCCTTGGCGGCACTCATTTATTATTTACCAATTCAGTTCTGATATAACATGTAATTAAATTTCTTATGTATCATATTTAACTCTGACCGGGTTGAATCTAGTAAATAATAAATAAATTTGAAAGCCCGAAGCCTTGGCGTCACCCATCTATAATATTGTTAATCTCTCGATCATTTTTTAAGATCACGGGGGATTAATGAATAATGCCTGATCCAAATGTGAATAAGCGGAAACGGATCAGGATATTATTATTACAAACCATTCTTTCTTCTCCGTGGTAAGCTTTGGAATTTCTGAATTATTGGTCAGAGCTTTTATACCGTCAAAATGTAATTCAACACGAGATTTATATTTAAGAAAATGACCTCCAGCCTGATTGAGACATTGCTAAAGACGATAGAAATATCAACGAAATGGATTCAATAAACATATCTAGGTTGGCAATTGGACTAATAAGATAGTGAAATAGTTAATTAGTCCAATTGTCTAACCCTGAAAATATACATGATCATTACACATACATATAGGAGTGCAATCTGATGCGCCATATATTTGTGATTCCGAAGCTTTGTATCTTGTTGGAGTTGGAGTGAAATAGAAACCAATTGATTGAGCACGTTCATCTCGTTAAAATGTGCTATGTTCAAAATTTTGTAAATGAACATGTTTATAGGTTGCAAAAGTAAATACGGAATAGTAATATTCTAGTTAACACGATGTGGCGTTTTTCCAGTAGGAGCACACCAGTGGAAATCTCACACGGATATATTAACGATGGTATAATTCAACTTTACCCAGTGCATCAACTTTTCCAGAAGGAATGTTATTGACAACTAGTCGCTTCGCTGACTTCGGAAAAAGTACAGAAAGTCCCAATTCTGACAGGTAAGTCTACAAACAGTTGTAAGGAAATCATTCAGTATACATACCAAGGATTCAGAATTTATCAAGTATTACATTATTCCATTCACCTGAATGTCTTTTTTTGGTATCCCATCCTCTTCAAACTGTAATAGAGAAGTCTCCAAGACATTCAGTGCAGCTTCAATTTCTGTCTTGTTATATTGTTGCTAAAAAAAGATGACATCAGAACTTAAAGTAGACAATTCCTGCTACTAAATGGGTAATTTTCTGAATATATCGACGCTCAGAACAAACCCAAGGTATTTCATGAAACTGAAATCCGTTCAGATTGAGCTATGCTACGCCTACCGAAGACGTAATCCGATATAATACATATCAAATATTATTAATTACAGAATGCTATATAGACAGCACCGAGGACAGTTATTTAATTATCATTTTTGCCTCAAAACGAAGTTCTAATTGCTTGGTTCTATCAAATATTACCCTTGTTAACAAAACAAGTTATTGGCACACACGAACCTGTGCCAAATGCTGCACCGCGTTTTCTGAACTGGCAAGTGCCTCCTCTTTACTCAGTAGCACTTCTAATCTTGCCAACGCGTTCAGTACCTGTAGCCCTATTCGTTTTTTATGAGATCCTGGTTTTTGAATTAGAGGTTCATGAAGGCGTATTTCAACTGCAAATTACGTAAACAAAGAATATTTCTTGTGAGAATTTCTTCTGGCTTGCAAAAGTTAAAATATGCTTCGTACCTTCTTGAGCTGTATTTACCGCACAAAGACTGACAAGTGGTGGTGTAGTCTTAAATTTACTCATTGTTCTTGTAACTATCAGAATGTTGTTAATTTTTATGTAGCGGAATCTCTTGCTGCGGATCTATTTGGGCAGATTTAATTGGCCACATAATCTAAGACGTAATCCGACATGAAACGCAAAATATCACGGAAAAAACTTCACACAGTCATATAATGAATAACATCCGATGAGGTTATCCCACATTAGGTTAGCGTTAGATTTAGCCATAGGCAGTTAATTTTGTCGATATTTCCAAGTCCTAAAACCTAGGGTTATACAATTCGAAATAGCAAAAGATGTCAGAATAAATGAATAAATGGCGTGCATCTGTTAACGTTACACGCCGATCGTTCGTGTGATATCTACATACGTGATGTTGATGTTGATTGGCTGGATACTGGTTTTCAAATTGGTGGGTGTCCTTATGTCAGAGCTGCCGGCCAAAAAAATATGGTCGTAATATCTTTTTTTTTGGCATAAAGGTGAGGCCTTGCTTATATCTTTAATTTGTAGTTTTGAGGTTAGTAACTATTTTCAGTGAAGCTTTGCATGAATGTAACCAAGGTAATTTTACTTACTGATTTTTCTTTTATATTCTTATGCTCTAATTTGCTTTAATTTACTTTAATTCATATACCGTAGGACTATCACCTTTTTTATTTGCTTTGTTAGCCTTTCAGTCGCTTATAAATCTTTGTTCCGTATCAATAAACGACCTTTAAAAATAAAACTCCGCAAAATTACCTTTCAACTATTATGTGTATGCTTAATTATGCACACCAAAATATTTTATGGTGATCTTTGACTGGTTTATTAACTGGTCTAATTCGTGCCATCGTTTTGCGTGTAACTCAATCAAAAGCAAGTTAAAAAGACATAGCATAAGTGAACAATTATTACGGGCAAGATTAAATGGATTAATAATTTCTGGGTTAAAAAAATATTCTATTATTTTGGTCGCTTGCTTTTTTATTATTATTTGGTAATTATTTCTATACTCGACCAAATTTTATTGGAGAGACAACATTGAATAAGATCTTTCCAGATGATCGTTTTCTGTTAACATTCCTCTTAATGACTGACCCGAGACGTACTAAATTGACTCGTACCTAAACAACTTTCCCGATAAGCCCGATGTGAGTTCTCTATATAGGCGTACACAAGTGATTATATATACCTATTTTAGTAATCATCCCATGTTTGACAAAACGAGATCAGTATACGTACGCAAACAATTTAAAAGCTCAAAATTACATCGAGGAAAAGGTTCTGAGATTAACCAGCGATTACATGTATCTAAAGCCATAAAACTTGTGGCTGAAAATATTAAAAGCTCCTACATTGCCCTTGTGGCTCTATGTGACGGCAAATGGAAAGAAATCTTAACGGTTATATATAATGCCAATTTTCATCTTAAACTTTATATATTAATATTAATATGCTTAATAACACAGTGGCCTCTTGATAAAAAAAATTAAAGTTCTTATTACATCTGATCTTTTAAAGGAAGAATCACTGAAAATTCCCTCCCGACATGATTTTGCAAAACTGTCTTATGAGTAAGGCTAAAGGCTGCGAAGAATGTACACAGATACTACTGGTCACGTCAAAGGTTTATTGATGTACCATACTTGATATAAACTTTTACGAGCCCAGATAAAGTATATAAAAAACAAGAATTTCAATGTGGCTGGAGACATCCATTTGTAAGTAATATTATAATCAGGAATTTTTCTAAATTTTATATGTACTAATACATCTTTATTTTAAAAGAATGAAGATCCAAGAGTTGTAACGGTATAATTAATATTGTAGATAGTACAATTAATATTGATTATGTTTAGAATATAATTAATACCAACGATTATCCCTTGTCGAGTTCGATGGGTTAGCTACATTCTGATAATTAACATTCTTACTTATTAGAAATTTGTAAAAATCATTATTATTATGATAATTATTGTTACATAAAGAATATTAGCGAATCAAATTTCACGCATTTTTATAAGATATTTTTACTAATACCTAATTATTTAATAGAATTATAATTTGACAAGACAGATATTTGATTTTGTTAACGTTAAAGCGATTTCGTAAAAATTTCAATTTTGTAAGAGCAGTCTTTTTTATTATATTTTTATTAAACAATAAATAAATAAATTCTCATAAAATTTTCGTGAGGACATGTAATATATATTATAAGTATAGTATTCTACTTCTATATCTCAAATGCGATTTTTCTCGGTATTATGAATAGTAGTATAGTATGATTGAGCAAACTAGTAGAGTATGCTACAAAAATTGCATTTTGAGTATATAAAACTAGCATATTATACTTATAATATATATTATATCTAAAATAGTATAGTCATAAAGAATTTAATTATTATATGTGATCTTACGAAAATTTATTTATCATTGTAAAGATTTTTACAAGATTGTTTGCACTGCTTTCACTGCTTTCACAAGATCATTTTAACAAAATCAAAATTTTTACAAACTTGTACATTCATTCCTTTAAT